CAAAACCCTGGCAGGAATCCAGGTTTGTTCCGTTGTGGTCTGGTGCTGCCAGTTTGGGTTCTGGTTGGCACACTGTCTGGGTGTCCATCAGCTCAGTGCTTCATTATGTTCATTCATGTTTCAAATTCGCATGCGTTTGGAGGAACATAGCTGGAAGGGAGGGGATAGTTACATGGAGGGATAACAAGATCCAACTGCAGTGCAATACAAGACAACACAGTGCAGGAACAAATCTGCATTACAAGACAGAACAGTGCAAGAGAACCAGTGCAATACGAGCCAAGGCAGTGCAAGTTCGAGACGACCAGTGCAAAATGAGATATGACAGTGCAGGAGAAACAGTGCAATAGAAGATAAGAAAGTGCAAGATAACCAGTGCAGTACGAGACAAGACAGTGCAAGACGACCAGTGCAGTACGAGCCAAGACAGTGCAAGACGACCAGTGCAATATAAGAATCAGTAATTAATAAATAGGTAATAAATTGGTGATGCCAGTTGGGCAAAAACCCAGAAGTAGTAAAGTACAGAAGTGTTGTATATAAAAATCTTGGGAATGTCGTACCCACTGTGGTCAGCAGAGGGCTGTACTTCCTCTCCAGAGGTGACGGGTCAACTGATATCACCTTGTATTGGAAAAGTGATCATAGTCGTCTTAAAAGGCAGTCATTTCAGCTTAAAAACACTGTAGGCAGAAAGTTCTCCCTTTGTATGTGCAGCATGTAATTGCCTGTGCTGTGAAAAATCGATATGCACACAGATGTTACGGTGCCTTGCTGTGAAATCTCGCAGCCTCTTTCAGATCAGTATTCATCAGTTCGCTTTCCACACCTTTATAACCGTATTTATGTTCCATCCAGAAATATTACACCTTTTATAGAAACTGCTGCGGGAGACCGGCACCACCCAAAAGGTTTATAATTTTTCCATTTAGATTAAATGTCAGTTATGTGGTTTTAAAGTGACCATTTCTAATGCTTTGTGTTTTGAATTTTTTTTTAATGATAATTTTGACACTTCAGACAGATACAACTATAGATATTTAGTTCAATGTTTATGTGAATACTAACAGAGCAGCATTGCTAGGTCACTAGCCTGTTATTTGGATCCCGGGAGAGCCTAGGTCACATGACTTTCCCAGCATCCTCTAGGCTTCTGGTGTCATGTGGTCCTGAGGCGCGGAGGCCCCGGTAATCTCAGAATGAGAAACATCAGCAATGGGAACAAAGTGCACGAGAACGTATTAAATCCAGAGCTTGTTACAGGGACCAGGAAACTTACAGGCTTGTCATAGCCAATCAGAGCCCTGAATAATGAGCAACGCTCTACCCCCAGGGAAAGAATACAGGTGAATAGGTTACAGGGCTAAAAGGGGAACAGTGGGCTTTTGTGTATGTGTGTTCAGTTGCTGTCTTTGCTAATCTGCAGCTTGTTTTCGGTGAACGTGTGATGCTACCATTCAGTGTGTCAGCCAGAAAAAGCCACAGTTTGTTTCCTTTTTTTAACCAAGTAGTTTGTCTGACGCTGTCAGAGACATCTTCTAATGTGATCATTTCTGCTGCACTTTGGTTTCCGTGGCAACGGCTCACTGCACGGAGCCCCGGAGACGGGCGGACAGACTGCTCTGCAGGCAGGCTTCCTCCTTCCCAGGGACCGGAGTGACTTCACCACATCGCGGTGTGGCACGGGGGGGGGGGGGTCTTTCTCCCACCAGAGATGGCCTGGAATGGTGTGATGTGACGACGTGCTCTTCTTCTTTGTACTCTTCATCCTCTTCATTCATTTTGCCTCCTCTTCATCTCCGCACCGCCATGTTGTTATGTTCCCTCATGGGGGTGCTGTGTGGCCCTGTGGATTATGACTGTGTGTATAATCAGCAGGTCATCAGTTTAAATCCCTCGGCTGGCTGGGTGATGTCCCCATTGGGCCTCACCATTATCTGCTAATGTTTCTGCCATTGTCATGTGATTGATATTTCAATATATCTTTCCCTTTGTTGTCTTCTTCATCATTGTCTTCAGCATCATTATATTGCTTCATCTGCCCAATCTTTAGATCTTCACCACTTACATTTTGAACATTGATCCATCATTATTTTATGTCTTCTCCTCGGTTCTTCGTCCCATTAGCCTCCTGCGGCAGAGCTGGCATCGCGTAGGCGGACCTTGGTCTTGTGACTGAACATCTGTGCTTTTGATCAAAGTGTTCCAGGTTCAAATCTCAGACGGCTGAGCTGCAGAGCACTGATTTTCATGAGGTGAAAAATGTGCCCCATTACTATAAGCAGCGAGAGGAGTGTCCGTCACCATGGCTTCTGCAGGAGCCGCAGAAGCTTGACGTCGACACGCATATGCAGATGCTCAGTGACATGTGCTCACGTGCATTTCTATCCTGCGCATGCAAGCTCTCGTTGTCTTATGAGGACGGGAGCTGGATGCCATGTGAGATGAGAAGAGATGATTTTTGGAGAAGGCTTGGATCTCTCAGCCCACAGGAAGTGTCACGGGCCGGATGATCGTATCGAGGAAGGTGGCCTTTCTGTAGTGGCAATGCAACACTAAGTGGCGCCATGATTAACACCTCCTGTAGGAGCTTGGGGGTGAATGGGGGTGGGGGGAGGGGGGTGTCACTATGGGGCGTTAATTTCTTGAGGATGCCGGGGTGATAATTTGTTGAAGCGGCAGCCGGTAAATTCATCTGGGCTGTAATTGACGAGGTCTCAGCGAGCACTCCTGGCGTTAGTCTCACTCTGACCCCCGGTAAGGGGATCAAAAGCAGCCGCTCTCATGCCCCGGGGGCTGTCACCGAAGCGGGGGTGCTCTCGCACCCCGGTGAACAACACAGCCTGCAAGATCCATAAAAAGCCGCGGGCAGCGTCCGCCTCTTGCTGCTCCACGGCACGCACACCTGCCCGAGCGCGTGTTGCTGTTTATTTATCAAGCTGAGGATTACTTTGGGTTCTAAGCCAACACGCATCCATTTTTCAGGGGGCAGCCTGTCATTCAGGTCTCCAAAGTCGCCGTGGGGCCGTCGTTACCTTCTCCGTCAGGCAGTCCCGTTTTTTATTATGCGGTAGCCCTCTGGTTATGGAGCCGGCGGCTAAAGGAGGCCGTTTTAGTAACTCCGCCTGAGGCCGCCGTCGCTGGGAGTCGGAACCAACACTGTATCGATCCTCTGACGGTGATCAGCACGGAGGAGGTGGCATCTCGCTGTCGCCTAGAATAAACTGTTTTGCCGCCGTACTCACCATCTAGGTCGCTGGTTAGATTGTCGCGTTATCCCCGCGTTCCGCGAGGGCGCCACGTGTCCATCGTTTGCGATGACTGCATTTAGGGAAGGGAATCGCGTTTCCCGTACATTTGTGTAGAGATATGTGCTCTCCATCTCATAGTTTTACCTTCATGCAGTAACATGTCTCAATTCTTCGCAGGCTCAGTAAGTGAAATAAACTTTGGGTCGTGTCTCCAGGAGCCACTGAAATCATTCCTCCTCGTTCCCTCAGAGAAGACGCATGTAATATTTATAATCCAATTAAAAGTAAGTGTCTGGCCTGAGGTGGGGGTTCCGGCACGTGTTCAGAACCTGCTGGAAAAGACGGCCAGAGCCTAGAGCATCAAATGATGGTGGAGCGTCTTCCCACACTGCCCCCTACAGGGAACAGTGGGACACTGTCTGTCAGTTTCCCCACACATTTCCCAGTGCAGCAGATTACTTTAGAGAAAGGCTATGGGACATGAATTACATTTATGACTCATTTAAGATTTTTAAGTGACAGAATTCATAAAGGCTAGGTGTGTCCTTTGGCTCTGATGTGGGTTCAAAGCCCCCTGTGGCACAGAGGAACATGATTGGCTCTTGTTCCCTCAAGTGGGCTGGACTGCTAGGCTCCTGTCCTCTGTCTTCAGTCTCAGGCTGTCTTATACCACAGGAGACTCGCAGCTTGGCTCAATTGCAGTGTGCCCGCTTGGGGGGTGGGGGGTGTGTGGGGGGGTGGTTGGTTGAAGGTCCTCCCTCCTCCCAAGCTAAAAGGACACCTTTGGTTTGAGGCATGGACTGGTCCGGGTCTGAGCGTATGAGACAGAATTAAGGAATTCAAGTTAAGAGATGGATGCCTTTGCTGATTGTGAGCTCTCTCAGTAAAAGGCAGCGGATCAGTGAAAGGGCCTGTTTATCACAGAGGCTAGGAGAGAATTTAAAGTAAATCGACATTTGGGTGCCGGTGGGTCAGTAAGGGAATCCCAAAAAGCAACTTTAACCTGCTGCTGAAAACACTGATTCTTTGTTTCTACCCCTAGAGAGGTGGGTTGGCTCTGTTCTTTTCTCTCCCTGCTGTAATCTGAGAAAGATTTGCTTTGTAGTACAAATCAGAAAACAGAAGCCCCTTTACGTCCTGCGTCCTCCCCAAACCATAATTAATTTACTTTAGATGTACCGCTGAATGTTCTTATAATGCAACACTTACACTGCACCAGAGAATATCATTTTTCATTCAAAAACACGAGTTAGTCACACCTTCCGTTTTGCTATTGGCTGAGTTCTCTGGGTTGGTTAAACACTGCCCCCTGCTGCTGAAAGCGGAATATGCCAAAGGTTCTGCGAAACGGTAGCCTTAGGACCTGGGGGCAGAGTCTTGACTTTGTGGTGGAAAGAGCTCATTATCTGGGGGCCTGGTTGTAGCAAATAGCCTGTTAAGATGTAAAACCTTTAAACATGAAGGGAACAGAGATGTCAGAGATATTGGCATGCCTTAAACTGTGATTTGACATTCAGCAGCGTGGCTACTGACGGTCTAAGGGCTTTATTTTCCCAATAAGGGCAATCCGTACTGTTAAAATGGATGCGTGGGTCTTTAAGGGTTTAACAGTCAGGTCCTTGCTGTCTGATGGGGGGAATCGCTGTTGAATCCTTGGGGGAGCCACTAGGGACTAGCTTCCATAGCAGTGCGATTGGATACAGAGTTTGTATGGCAGAAGTGTACATGATTACCCACAATCCTCCACAGGATCCTGGAGCTGCAGCAGAACGGCGACATGGACGTCCTGAAGCTGAAGTGGTGGCCGCGGGATAGCTCGTGCGACATGTACTCATCAGTGCAGACACGGCAGCGCGGCAGCGCCCTGGACATCCACAGCTTCGCCGGCGTCTTCTGCGTGCTGGCGGCAGGCGTGGTGCTCTCCTGCCTCATCGCCATGGTGGAGACCTGGTGGAATCGGAGAAAGGGCTCGCGGGTGCCCTCCAAGGAGGTGAGGGGCGGGCGGGCGGGCGCAGTCGGCATGTGGCGCCGGTGCTGGAGCGGGGAGTGTCACTGCACCACTGAATGCGGGGGCGGACTCGTCACTGTCTGCATTTTGCTGTCCTAGTGGAAGCGACCAATCAGAAAACAGAAAGAGGGGCGAAGAGACCCAAGCTGAGCATAGTAAGGCATCGGTAATGCGGGTGTGATAGGTAACCTGAGGCTGACCCCTTCAGGCAGAGTCAGACTGACCACCCAATCAAAACACGCCGACATGGAAACGCCAAACGCCTCGTTCTGAATTAACGGGGAGACCTGGGTGCTGTAGCCCAGGTGTAACAGCCTTTTGTTAATGCCGTCATAATTAGTGTAGAGAGGAGGACAGATACACTTGATTTACACCTAGAATTGTAGTGCTGCATGTGCTGAGTCTCTCCATGCATGGCAGCCTAGCTGAGAACAGATTCCAATGTTGAGCAGCAGGTGGCAGCACGTAGCAGGGCTCACTGGGGGAGAATGATATGGAAGGGCTGTAGAGGGTCATTTCTCTTATGCAGCGCACCCCCAGCGCACCTCTGAGGCACTCTACCCTCACTCCCCACCACCCCCTTGTATGTTCGTCTCTCTTTAATTACCTGATTCCTTAATCATAATACATTATTTGACTCTCAGATTCATTATAAACATGTGCTACCATGTTCACCCAGCATGCCTAGAGCCTCTCCCCTGTGGGCGTGGCCCCATACCATGTGACCCCCCCCCCCCCATACACCCTGTACCACGGGTGTCAAACTGCAGTCCTGGAGGGCCGGAGCCCTGCACATTTTTGGGTTTCCACTCATTTAACACACCTGATTCAACTGCTTGTGCTAAGTATCACGTTGCTCTTGAGCTGAATCATTTGTGGTGGAACAGAACTAAGATATACGGGGCTCCGGCCCTCCAGGACTGCAGTTTGACACCTTGCTTCCTGCAGGGGGCATAGAGGAAAAGGGACTCCCAGATACCATTGGTTTACAGGTCGGTGGTACAGTGGCACAGTGGTTAGCATTGGGACCAGGGTTTGAGTCTCTGCCATAGCACTATGTGTGTCTGCATGTTCTCCCCGTGTCATCACGGGGTTTCCTCCAGGTACTCCGGTTTCCCTCCACAGTCAAAAAACATGCTGAGATTAATTGGAATTACTAAATTGCCCGTAGGTGTGCATGTGTGTGTGCCTGGTGTATCTGTGTGCCCTATGATGGCTTGGCACCATGGATGGATGGATGGATGGATGGGTGGATGGGTGAGTGGATAGATGGATGGAAGGATGGGTGGATGGATGGGTGGATAGATGGATGTCCTTCAGGAACAAACACACTGCACATCTATGCACAGCTTCCACATGCCTATTACCAAACAAACTTTCCACAAGGCAGTGAAACTTTCCACGTAAGTGAAAGCCCAATTTACAACAGATGAAGGAATGATTGATTTTAACATACGGGTATTTTAATTTCCTATTAAAATGCAATTATAAACCCAATTAAAACATGACATTTTAATGATTCCAGCCCAGTAATTATCCCAATTAAATTCGCTGGAAGGTCGGCTTACAGGTACAGTCTACTGAGCTTGTTGGGTTTCTGATTGGGTCAGTCTGGTATAAGAGGTCACATGGGGACTATGGACACTGGATGAGAGCGTGTGTATCAGGATTTAACCTGTCCCCTCCGTCTAGGTCCACACCGAACCACCACCCCTGTCTCACCACCTCCTCCCCTAGTCCACCCCTTTCTTTCCACCTCCTCCCCTGCTCCACCCCTGTCCCACATGATGCACCACCTTCTCCTTGATCTAGAATATGTAACACCTCCGTACCCGACCAACCAGCGTCACCAGTTCGGTGCCATACTCCACCAAATCAATCCAGGCCCATCTGTTCCGCCGGAGCTCTGAACCAGCGGCTCCGCACCCCACAGAACCAGGCCAGCATGTCTCCGAAGTGCCCCGCACACGGGCACCTTCGAAATCAATACAGGCCCAAACGTCAAAACCAAAAGCTATCCTCTGGACTCAGTCGGGGGGCTCTCAGACAGCCTCGAGCCCCCAGTGAGCATGCCCAGTGACCTGCCCCCGCCCCCATGTCCAAGACGCTGTCCTCCTAACGAGTGCTTGACGCAGACCCCTGTGTCAGCGGGACATTTGGTCAGGCGTGACCTAGCTGACCATTTCATCATCTGACTTCCTTGGGCTTCAAGTGGCTTTTGATCAGTGAGCAGCAGACGGCCCATGGACAAACCCCCCCCCCCCGTGACCTCAACAGCTTTTATCTGTCAGCATGACCCTCCCCTGGGCCCCCGCCACCGCACGGCCCCCAAAGGGTCACGCCAACTTCATTACCATCTGAGAGGTGCTGCTCGCCGGGGCCTGTGCGGTTGTAGCCGTAGCATCCGCATGCCTATTAAGGGGACTGTGGTGTCTACCCAGCATTCCCTGGGGTTAGAGCCAGACAGCCTGATTACCGCCTCTCGGGGGTGTACGGCAGTGTTCCGACATCAATGCCGTGCATTTTTTTTCCCCCATGTAGGTGACATTTTACGAAGACAGCCATGTAAACACTGTTAGTGGAGCAGGATCAGGCCTGGCGGGGCTGGGGGGGGCCTCCGACAGCAGCTTAGTCCCAGGATCCTGCTATGACCACGACCGTGACCGTGCCCACGGCGGCGCGGTCATGCTGGGCCCGGGGCAGCCTTCCCAAACGCTCCAGTGGGTGTGACGCGTGCCATGGACACGCTTTGTAATCACAGCTTAAACCCCCCCAACTGTGCCAGATATCTGCTCCCCTCCCATTGGCACTTTTCCTTTCTTTATTTTCTTTCATTTTTTGTTTTTGTGAGGCTGGGGTACGATGTGTCACGTCAGCGAGCTTCCTGCAGGGGGCATAGAGGAAAAGGGACTCCCAGAGGTGTCACGTATGCGGATTTCAGTACCAGAAATTGTTACACCATTATGGGTCCTTTTGAAGAAATATCTCTGGTGACGTAATGGATTTTACCCCCGCAATAGCTGTTACCCCTGTAATGGCTTTTAGCTCCATATCGTGTCTCTAGTCTTGAGTGCTGGAACCCTACCCAACCCCATCCCCCCCCAGCTAAACAAAGCTGCTTCTTAACACCCATTGGAGGAAAAGGTAGGACTGGACCTGATGACGTCCTGGAGGAGCTGAGACCAGGCAACAGGACAGACCCGGTGCATGCGGCCTGAACACAAGCACGCCCTGAACACACAGGCCCTGTGCACATACACACTGTACATGTTACACACACTGTATGCATATTGGCCGCATGAGGGGTGCTGGTGCTGGGGGCGGTGGGTATGCATGGGGGGGGGGGCTTTACACTGTCTCTGCTGCCTGCTCTGCTCAGTTCCTGATGCTGTGTGACTGCCCTGTGTCCTGCCTGAATGGTTTCCGTTCCTTGTTTTGTTTTGTAGATAAGTACTCTGTGTTGAGGATTTGGGTAAAAGCGTGGAGAACAATGCACAATGCCATTTTCCATCTCACCTTCCCAGGTACCCGGCCCCTCTGACCTCCGACAGAGCTCTGTGTGCTAACCATGCTGTGTGCCCTGCCCGCCTCTCTCTCCCCCAAGCCTGTTCCTGTCTCCCCCTGTAAAGCTCCTCCCTCCCTCCCTCTCTCTCTCACTCTCTGTGTCTCTCTTCCCTCTCTCTCTCTCCTGTCTCTCTCATGTTTCTCTATCTCTCTCTTTGAAACACGCCCACACATGCACACACATACACATGCGTACGCTCTCTGTAACACATATATATATAACCTGTCATATTAAAAAAAAGTACCTGTGATAGACCATGTGATAGACCATGTGATAGACCATGAGATAGACCATGAGATAGACTATGTGATAGACCATGTGATAGACCATGTGATAGACCATGAGATAGACCATGAGATAGACTATGTGATAGACCATGTGATAGACCATGTGATAGACCATGAGATAGACCATGACATAGACTATGTGATAGACCATGTGATAGACCATGAGATAGACCATGACATAGACCATGTGATAGACCATGTGATAGACCATGACTTACCACAGAGGCTCCGCCCCTTGACACACCTCCTGGTCTCGCCCCATGCCCCACATAGAATCTCTGAGATACAAAATAAACTAATCTGTCATATAAATAAAATCCCCCATTTGCCCTGGAATATACTATTTGATATGATTTCGCCAGGTGCCCTCTCCCCAGATCCCGCCCCACACCCTGCAATAGGTACCAGGTTTGAGAACCACGGATGGGCCGATGTTTTCAGAGATATGGCATCATCCCCAGCATTGTCACCCGCTTCCATGTGCCGTTTTCACCCACATCACTGTGTTACAGTTTAATGCGTAGGATGATGCCCTGGCAGGGTGCCAGCAGTGTCCGTACATCATTTGTCTCATTACAGTATATTTAATAGATGGATTGTGTCCAGCCTTTGATTGGATTTCGCGCCGGGTGGCCAGAATGTGAGACAAGTACTTGTTCGTTATGAATGTGAGAAGTCTTCGTATGTAGATGAGCTCAGTGGACAGCAGCATCTGTGCCTGAGAGCCTGCAGTCTGCACAGCAGCAACTGTACCCGAGAATCTGCGCAACAAGGGCAGATGTGCCTGAGAGTCTGCCAGCTGCGCAGCAATGGCAGCTGTGCCTGAGAGTCTTTGGTCTGCGCGACAATAATAGGTCTGCCTGAGAGTCTGCAGTCTGCACANTGCTTGTTCGTTATGAATGTGAGAAGTCTTCGTATGTAGATGAGCTCAGTGGACAGCAGCATCTGTGCCTGAGAGCCTGCAGTCTGCACAGCAGCCCTGAGAGTCTGTAGTCTGTGCATCAGGAGCAGCTGTGCCTCAGAGTCTGCCAGCTGCGCAGCAATGGCAGCTGTGCCTGAGAGTCTTTGGTCTGCGCGACAATAATAGGTCTGCCTGAGAGTCTGCAGTCTGCACAGCAGCGGCAGCTGTGCCTGAGAGTCTGCAGTCTGCACAGCAGCGGCAGCTGTGCCTGAGAGTCTGCAGTCTGCACAGCAGCTGCAGCTGTGCCTGAGAGCTGGCGGTCTGAGATCCTGTGGCTTATGCAGCCACCCATTCGCTGATGGGCTCTCCGCCTCCCACTCTCCCAGCCCGGCTCCTTTGTTGCGGAATGTTCCGGGCCTGCCTTCGAGTACACCGCACTCCTGGCTGGAAGGTAAGGCTGTCTCAGCCACAAACCACTGAACGGGGGTGACTTTAAGACCACCTGTACTGGTCCTCTCCAGCACTAGGCATGATGAGCGTGGCCGTGAACGCTCTGTGACCTCTGACTGTCGGCATGGAGATGAAGAGGATGAAGAGGATGCTCGGCAGGGGAAAGACATCCCCCCCCCCCCCATTCACACCACAGAGCCCAAGAGTTGCTGTTTCCTTTAACAAAGCAAGAAACATCCTGTGTGTATTCCCCCTGTGTGTGTGTGGGGGGGGGGGGGGGGCCTGGGGGGGGGCGCAGTCACCTGAGCCCCACTGCTGTCAGTTCTGGGAAGAAGAATATGTATGACATGTAGCTGAGGTCCCTCCAGAACCGTAATTATGTCATTTTCCCTGGGGGTAGGAATTCATCCTCCATTTGATGCAGCAGAAGTGGGGCTGCTGTGACCTGGTTTGGTCCCCCCTCCTGCTGGAGACGCTGTCTTTACCGAGGAAGCGTTTGAGCACTGGTGCCGCTCAGTGTATCTGCAGCAGTGCCGTCTTACTCCCCGCTCTCGCAACGCAGTGCCGCAGCAAGCCGCTGACAGTGAACTGCAGGTGAAGAGCGCTCGCAGTTAGTGCAGATAACGCTGGAAGCAGGCCTGCAGTAGGACTCCCCAGGTGAAGGGCACACCTACTTTTCTACTCCGTCTGTCTTGATCTCGCCAAATCCTCGACGAATGCGGCAATGCCTGCTGGCTCCGCGTTTCTCCATCGGCACCATCTGTTGTGCGTTTTCCTGGCGGCCCAGGCCTACATCGGGGCATTGTGCTCTGGATCGCAGTTAGTGTTTGCACAAGGTGCCGCGGAGGTCTGCCGTAATGTTTGCTGTTTCGTTCAGGTTCCCAGCGTGATAATAAGGTAAAAAGGATATTTCTTGATGATGCCTTTTGTCTCTGAATGGCTGTGGAACATCTTCACCATCACTTTCTGTAGTTCAACAATAGCTTCAGCTTGAAGGACATTCCCTGTTGCTCTATAATGGCTTTACACCATCTTGAAGAACATTCCTTGTAGCTCTGTAATGGCTTTGGAACATTCCGACGTAATTTCCTGTTCTTCTTGTTGGTTCAAACTTGAGCTCTGCTTCCTCACAGTATCACTTATGACCGACTTCATTACTAGGCCACATTTCTTACATTTAAATGGATTTACTTGGCAGATACTTTCCTCCAAAGTGACTTTCTAGGACATGAGTGTTAAGTTCTTTAGATCTGAGATCCATAGCAGATCAGAGATAAAACACTCAGGGAATCGCAGTACAGAATCTCAAAACGCAGAACCAATAAAAGAGTCATGTGGAGTTCAGGCCATCCAGAATTAGGTGATCAGTGGTCATTGTTGATACACCACAGCAAAAATGTGTCCTCTGTATTTAACCCATATGTGACATCGTGACATAGCAGGGGGCAGCTAATTCAGTGCCCGGGGAGCAGTGCTTGGGGGCGGTACCTTTCAGGTCGGGGATTCGACCCAGCAATCTTTCAGTTACATCAGGCTGCAGCCAGGAGCTCAGCAGGTGACTGGGAGCCCCTTCATGCATCGTTTGAGAGACTCTACTGTTCTCAGGCTCAGTGGAAGCAAAATCCCCCACTCAGGCTGAGGTGGGAAACAGACAGGAATTTGATTTCCACACTGTTTCCTGTCAGAGGAACATCGTAACTTTGAAGGGGTGACAGGTTGATGTAGAAATGTTGAGTCTTTTTCCCCTAGGCACCGTGTGCTGGTACCAAACAAGAGAGAGGCGTGTGACCATTCAAAGAGGCTGAACACAGTTCCTAGCTCGGTCTTCTCAACGAGCACGAGTGGTTTAGTGTGACGAGCCTGAAGTCCACCCAAGTGGCGGCTGCAGCCGTATAGGAGAGTGACGAGCGTTCCTTACGCTGGCAGCTGTGTTGATAGCTCCCACTGAGATCATGTCTGGCCCAGTGTTGGAGAGCAACATAGGGTAGAACCTGTCACCACACAACTACTTCTGTGTAGTGGAAAGTAAAGGTACCCAGAAAGTAGCGGCGATACTGTATAGCGATCCCTTAACTCTTAAGTAATCGTTCCTTAGAATCTCATGATTTTCTGTCTCCCATTATTTCATTATGTTGATTATGAATGATCATGATTGACATGGTGACTTTCACTCATCACTGGCTTCCATTGAGATGTCTCTCCTCATTCTCTCTCCACCTTCTTCAATTCTTGCTCCACCCCATGTTCCTTCCTGCTCCCCATGGGCGACAAACCCATCCGCCCCTTCCTTCTCCCAGAGAGACAGAGCAAGAGAGAGCGCACCTGAACACCCCAGTGCTCCAGAACCCCCCCCCCATACACAGACACATAGACACCCCCCTCACCCTGTCTTTCTGAAGCCCAAGCATGACAAACACACTTTGATCCTTCACAGGTGGTTCCGTTGTGATGTTCCTCAGATGTTCCTGCACCTTTTCTGCCCTATCTGTATCAGCGTGGCTGTGACACTTGTGAATGCCGGTGGCATAGACTAACAAGGAGCCGACCATGAGAGACAAACCCCATGCAGTGACAGTGCTAAATTTAGAAGCTAATGACATTAATTATTAACAGCACTGTGACTCTGATCATGCCTGAGGCGCTTCGTGTGCATCACATGTAATCATGTGCAGGTAACCGCTCACCATTTTAAATGGCTTGTGACTCTATTGGTTACGACACTGTGGCTGCGATCAGAAGGACACCAGTTCAAATCCCAGGGTCAGTGGATTGATTTCACTGTTGGGCCCTTGAGTCAGGCTCTTAACTCTCAGTTGCTCCAGGGACTGTCTGACCCTCCTGCTTTCTCAGAAATGTATGTCACTTTAGATAAAAGCAACTGCAAAATAAATAAATTGGAAATCGTGCCAAATGTCAGTAATAAGCCATTTTAGCATCTGTTGTAGCTCAGGCAGAAGGTGTAGTGGCAACAATTGCGCAGTATGCTGGAGTTTTAGATAGTGAGGTCTGCTGTGTCTGCAGAGTCGGATATTTACTTAAGGCTCTGACTCTGACTGTGTGTCTGTGTGTTTGCTAAACTCCCAATGGCACTGCTGCCAGCCCAGGGCCACTCAAATGTGCAGCATGTCCGTCTGTCGCGGCTGTGCCCTCAGTCTGTGCTTCTCTATCCTGTTCCCCTTCCTCCTCTTCCTCTTCATCTCCATCTTCCTCCTGATCCTCCTCCTCCTTCTCACGCTCACCTGGCATGTCTCCCACTTCCACACCCATCAAACTCACCCCCCCCCCACCCATGTGTGCCCATCAAATATCCCCGACTGTCACTGCCCCCCCTCAACCCCACCTTCAAACCAACCAACATTTCCCCATAACAACTATTCCCTTCTTCTCCCACCCTGCCTCTTCCCTTCCCTCTTGTTCATCTCTCAATCCCCCCGCCCCCCAAAACCCAACAGGATGACAAGGAGATCGACTTGGAGCACCTGCACCGCCGCGTGAACAGCCTGTGCACGGAGGACGACAGCCCACACAAGCAGTTCTCGGCGTCCTCCATCGACCTGACCCCACTGGACTTGGACTCCATGCCGACGGCGCGCCAGGGCCTGGAGCAGATCAGCGACTTCCGCAACACTCACATCACCACCACCACCTTCATCCCGGAGCAGATCCAGACACTGAGTCGGAGCCTGTCCGCCAAGGCAGCGGCCGGCTTTGCCTTTGGGGCCGCACCCGATCACCGGACTGGTGGGGGCCCCTTCCGGCAGCGGGCCCCCAACGGCGGCTTCTTCCGCAGCCCCATCAAGACAATGTCCTCCATCCCCTACCAGCCCACTCCCGCGCCGAACTTCGGCTACGGCAACGACCCCGACCGAGGCACGTCCATATGAGCAGAGGGCGGTCCGCTGTGCCGACGGTCAGACAGCGGCGACGCGTGTACATAGAAACCCTCCTCACCTGCCCCTCTACCCGCTTTGCGTTTCCATTCCGCCCCGCTGCCAGGGGGCGCCCTTATCCTTTTGCTAAATTGTCACTGTCGTTGTGGAGACTTTTTCTATGTGGAGGGACAAAGTAACCCTCTCCTTCTTTTTGTCACACCGTTCGGAAACTGCTTTTGAGACGAGGAGCAGGTGGATCAGAACGGACGGCCCGCGGACGTAACCGTGGTGACGGGGACAGAGTGCCCCCCCTCAGCTGCAATAAGCCCAGCACTAGCTGGATGATCTCATCACTCTCAGTCCTTCTCCTTGTCAGAACCTTCATTCTTACACAGTGTTCCAGTGTTGCCTAGCAACACCCCCCCCCCCCCCCCCCCCCCCCAGCTGGGCTGGATCCGATAGTGCACGAGCGCAATCCGGCACCACAGCTCGGCCCGATAGCAGGAAGATGTCAGGAGTACGGTTTGGGCCAAGACCGCACGGTCAGTACAAGGAGGCCGTGAGATGGACAGACCGACTGCACTGTACCAGTGCCCTCTGACCCGGATGTGATTGTGGTGTAATTTTTCTGAACAGAGCTGGCTGTTTGAAGAGGAAAGCTTCAAAGAGAGGAGAGAAAATAAGAAAATATAGAAATAAACTGCCAGAAAAAAAGAACTGGTACTGCACTCAAGACTGCTGTGTGTCTTTAATTACATTCGTTTTAAATTTAACAAGTATTAATGCGTGGAATGTGTTTGGTCAGAAAGATTAAAAAACATTGTGCTGAATTGTCTACTCGTTTATCTCTTTTTGAAATGGAAAAAGAAGAGTTTATCCTGTCATTCTCATCCGATCACCATCTGCCATGACAGTTTTATTTACCTGTTTATTTGTAGTTATAGCAGTGTCCGGGCCATCACATGTCATTTGCAGGTATATTTGCACCAACAGACCATACTGTGGCAGTTAAATGATGAGGCGGGGCTGAGAATCTGGATGGACCAATCAAACAGAACCTCAGCAAGTGATTGGCAGGAAGCTTGTCCCATCACGCTTTGGTCATCTCGCACTGAGCCTGCCCGCAACTTTAGAGTCAAACATGTCATTTGAAACAGGGAGGTGACAGCAATCTTTTAGGAACTCGTTTTGAAATGTCTTTGAGTTTAATTTCATTAATGTTTAGGGTAACGTTTATTTAACTTTTTTAAAGTGCCAGTTGTTTAAACAAGGCCATTAAGATGAAGCTAAAAAAGACAAAAACACATTTTGAGGAAAAAAAATAAACCAAACCTTTTCACTAACACTGTATTAATATTTAATAATGTTAGTTGTTTAGAATGAGCTTTCAGTTTGTTATCTTAAGACTAAATCTCCAATGTTGTGCGTAGAGAACAGCAACAGTGTTTGATGCAAGCCTTGTAGATGTTTATTTCTTAAGCTATGGCTATCGAATGACAATAGGACACAGGCAACATTTTAAATTTATTTAGTATAAAGGAAGAAGCATTATTACAATGTGTATTTTACATGTCGATGCTAATTTTGTTCTGAGTTTTTAAAGGAGCTCATAGAAGCCTAGCATTGATTTAGCTGTCATCTGACATCACCGTCAGTCTCCCCCCCGCCCCTCCCCCCCGCTCCCTCCCACAGAAAGCCATACCATTGGCTCATTTTCTTTTGTTTTTGTTTTTGTTTTTTTTTTGTTTTTTAAACGTTTGACCTGTTTGTTGACAAATAAGGAGGCAAGTTCGTAAAGAGACGCATGCACAACTTGCTATGCCTGTAACATTTTTAATTTCATACATAGAACGTACAGGATTATGTGACGATTTTCAACTTATTACAATGTACAGTATTTAATATAGGCCTATTTTGTTGTATGTGTTGCATATTATTCAAACAGAAGATACTGGGCCTCTGTTACAAGTGGCAAAAGCTTTCTGTGTATAATTTGTCTAATAAATTTGTTTTCTACAGCCGCGTGTTCGTGTTGTTTTTGAGGCTGTAGTGCTTGCAGGCGACACTCAGCTCATTCGCCTGTATGTCACCCCCAGCGCTGACTCCAAGCAGGAGCCCCTGGCTCTGATGCACACCCACCCAATCGATTCCAGGCGTGGATGTGGGCCCCCATTGGGCTCCAGCCAGGGCCAGCGGCACCCAGCGGAGACCTTATGGACTTTTCAGCCCATCTGCACCATGCTGGTGCAGCAGCAAGTGGGCAGGAGCCCAACCGGATCTGCGGTCTGCGGTCAGCCTGGGGGCCACAAAGAATAACTCTGCCAAAATAAAGGGGTAGTTAGATCTTAAATGTGAAACACTTACCTGATACAGCAGATTGTATGTTCAAGAAAATCCACTGCTTGTTAGTTTCAAATGGAGTGCTGGACAATTTGTGCCTCCACTCTCTTAGAGTCCATGTTTGGTGAATGAAGAAGCCATCCAGATTCCACGTGCCTGTGATTTAGTGTAATAAACTACACTAAGTATAGAAGTTCACCGATACACCCACAGCGTTAAAACTCATCCATGTGACGTAATAGTGAACTAAAGCGAGCGTGGGTTTGTCTTCAACGTCTTTCGAATGAGCTCTGAACTCAGCACCCTGGACTTCTGACACTTTCAGAGCTGAAATCGTTGATGCTGTAGAGTGATAATTAGGTAGCTCTCATGGATCTGTGACTGACGACTTTGCTTTGTAACCGACTGCTTGTCAAAATTTCAGCCCAAAGCCTTTCATACGTCCATAAGCCTTTGTACACGGCAGGTCACCGTGGCGTGAGGCCAAAACTAGAAGGGGTGACCGTGCCTGACAAGTCTGCCGAGATCCATGGAAGTCAATCAGTGTCGGCAAAGGTTCAAGGGGGTGTTGCAGGGGGGCTAAAAAAGCCATTAAATTCTAATGATCTTAAGGAGAAGCTGCATGTTTAAGTTATAGGCTTAATTAAAAGACCACAGTTCAACAGCCTACACTGCAAAAGTTACTATTATTATCTGCAAAAGTGATTATTATTATTATTATTATTATTTTATTATTATTTGTAGTAGAAGTAGTCGGGGGAGGGGGGGTAGGAAATAGGGGGGCTATTAATTTGGCTGTATTTGTCCCCCAGAAAAACATACCTCTGCATTTAAATGAAAATTGTTAGAAAATGAGTCCCCTGAATATCAAACTCTGCCATACACCCTTGATGGGGGGGTAGTATTAATATATTATTGTGTAACATCAGCAGAAAATTTTTGTTCAGACATGGACCGTAGAACTGGGGGGTGGGTGCCCAGGTACCTTTGGGAGCATCATTAAGAAAGCAGTGATGAACAAACAGGAAGAAAAAATCACCTATAAATAACCTGATGCCAACTGATTAATAAAAGCATGAATGGTACAGGTGACTCACTGGGAGCTGCGATTTGATATGTACCAATCAGCTGTATTCGTAGACTGTATGTTTATTGTTACGTCATTGGCGGCATTAACTGAATCTCAACATGCATAGTGAGGCAAAAAAGTGCATCGAGTGGTGAGCAGGCTTTGGAAATTTAGGGGGAGAATGAAGAGGGAGAAGGTTATATCTGAGTTTTCCAAAAGCATACAAGTGGGCATAACTTTATGCCCCCCCACCTTGATCAGAGGCATGCATTCATACCAAGCATAACAATGTTTGTACCATCAGGAATTGGGATTGAAATCAAAGAGCAGTACAGCCATCAAGGCCAACAACAACATGATGCTTGAGATCCCACACATTGTGCAAAAATGACAAAGGGCCAGAAATGCTCTTATTTTCCCCGTAGCGTCTTATTATGTTCTTCCGTCTGCAGCTTCTGGAACATGAAAAAAATAAACCATGTGAGCGAACCAAGTTATGAGAGACAAATCAAACACATGTTTTGGAGAGACTGCCTGCACCTTTCCTGTGGTTTATGAGAAACGCTCTTATTTAAAGAGCTCTGGTCACCAGGGAACTAACAGAAAAGTCAGCCGCTGCTTTAGGCTGTCAGTTATGAAAAAGAAATGAATTCCCTGCATTCACGTGGGTCAGGACACAATATTTCTCCTGGGAATGTTCCAGCAGAAAAAGCATCATCATGCTTCTGAGTCTAGCAGAGCATGGAAGAATGAAAGGTTGTGCAAAGTCAGGCTTCGTGGGATTGTGTTGACAGTGTCCCCTCAACACCTTCTGGGCTGTTGGTTTGAATCCAGCCTCAGTTGTGTGTGTGTGAGAGAGAGTGTGTGTGTGTGTGTGTGTGTGAGCGGGTTTACCTATCCTTATGGGGACACAATGTCCCCATAACATGATAAATATCCGTTTTTTTTCCCTTATGGGGACCGGTTTCCTGGTCCCCATAATGGAAAACTCTATTTTATAAAAATCAGTGACTGCTATGAAAAAACAAAAACTCTTGTATTTTGTTAGGTTACTTATGGTTATGGTTAGGGCAGGGTAGGGGTTAAGGTTGTCATAGTTAGCGTTAGCATTTTTCCCATTGAAATGAATGAGCGGTCCCCATAAGGATATGTTTACCCTACACGTGTGTGTGAGAGTGTGTGTGTGTGTGTGTGTGTGTGTGTGCTCATGTTTCCTTTATATTTACGTGGGTTTCCCCACAGTTCAGCAAAATGCAGTTTTGGTGATTTACTGACAGATAATTGTGCAAATGAGTGCTTGGCTTCAATCCAGCACGATTCTAACTGGGCAAACCAATTCCCGATGATTAACATCAGCGTGACCTTAGCAGTTTTGACGAACATGCTAAACACTTCTTAACGAAGGACCATTTTAATTAAATGTTCATAAGCTCTTAGCGTATATTAGCCAGGCAAAAAACAAACATCAGCTCATTATCATCAGTCTAGCGTACAGTACTACTGCTACAACAACAACATCTATGCTGAATTTCATTAGCATTTTACATCCAGTCTGCCTGTGAATTTCAATATTGCCTCCATACTACAAGGTCTACAAATGTATACAGTGAAAACGAGTCAATTTAGAACCTGTAAAACTTCAAGTTTCACCAAAGTTTATCCAGCATACACTACCCATGATAGTGTATGTGTGTTTTATCATACTTTTGTGCACTGTACAGGGTCTTACGGTGTAACAGTAATTCCCTCAGTAATACTTTGCACCCAGCGATAGAACTGTGTTAGGCTACACTGTGCTTGTGTGACAAGTTGTTTATTTTCCTGCATTCGCCTTTCACTGAGACAGCAAGTAAAGGTTCACGTAAAACAATGGCCAGTGCAGTAACCCTCAATGCCTCGCTTGGAAGCCTGCCTTACTGGTGACGATACCTTTCTGGGGTAAACCTGCGCTGGACTCATGCCAGGGGCTGCCCCTAGTGGAGATGTAACGATATTACAATGGGCCAAATCACACGCCATTTCTCCGTTAGTTAGATATGCACTGTTTTGTTTTATAATTATAATTTTTCTTTCTATGGAAATTCATATAAGAGTTGTCGATAGAACCCCAGCATAAATCTTGGAGTTCGGATTTCCCATCGCGTGATACGACACCAAAAGCCCTTCACAGCCACCGCGTTGCTGCTACCCCGACCACCACCCCAAATGAAATCGTCATCCTCACTCGTTTGTTTTTTCTTTAGAGTTTGCAAACTGCTTTGCATATCGCAGTGTCACGGATCGCCCTGCATATCCTGCGATACAAAAAAATACACACTTCTTAACTCCTGAATGGTTTAAGGAGCTCCAGTGCTCAGAGTTCCGTGAACGCAAAACCTGCAGCGGCTGTTTTTCGCTTTTGAAAATAACACGTCTTTAATTGCCTCCACCTTTTCCATAAGAAGCTATAATTTGGAAGAACTGCGTTTTCTTTTATTACAATTTAACACCCTTAATTGAGTTTTGGTAGTATGTTTATTACAGAAATTGTACATTTTGAGTAATTGATAGAGCATTGTGATCCTCGAAAATCCATCAGGTGGCGCTGTTTCACCATGATTGTTTTTTAAGACTTTTCAGAGTACTGTATTACTAAGCAAAAAAGCCACACTCTTGTCATTGATATCGCCCCCAGTAATTATGGAAAATACAGGAAAAAAAACGCGTTTTAAGTAAACAAAAAACTCCACTGCGTTCTGACAGGGGGCGCTGTATGGCGCATCTAAAATTTCTCCCCCGGTAATCCAAGGCAGAGTGAGAAATAAGTTCCGCGCGCAAACATAGCCTGATAACCTGAAATGGAGTTATTTCGCGTTTCATAAAAACTAAATTCTTTTGTTTTTTGTAATTTGGCAAGCTGTTTTGAATTGCGGTTTGCTTTGACCAGTAATCAAGACTGACACTGAATGAATACTGAACTACCGGCCGTACCTGCAAACTTCGACGCTGCTGCGGTAGCCTGCGGCAAACAAGTAATCACGGTGAAGCTAAAACGCCCGAGGATTACACAGGTTATTAAAGAAGACGATAGCTTGATTGCAGCGTTGCCAGTTTCTAAGTTTATTGGTATCATGCTTTATGAAGCCGTTGACGCTGCGCGCTGAAGCTTTTTAAGTTTATCATCGGAGACGTATAACAAGGAAGAGTGCTGTCAGATGAACTTTGCAGAAAAAAATAGAAGTTAAAAACCTCAGATTTTGTGCAGCAGCATATGATTATT